TGTGCTATATCTCTAGCTCATGTCCATATTTTAAATGGCATGTTGAGTCATGGCTTCCTTCTAGTACCACAAATATCTGAATATATAAGATACACAGAAGATACAGCTGTGGTAACAGTGGTTGTAAAACTGTTTTCACCTTGGATAAGAGCTGGGGACGTAGCTCAGTAGAGTGCTTCCTTAAAATGCATGAGGCCCTGGGTTTGATCCCTAGCATTCCATAACTGGGCATGGTGGTATAACCTGTAATCCCCAGACTTGGGAGGTGGAGGCAGGAGGATGAGGAATTAAAGGTCATCTTTGGCCTGCATAGCAACTTTGAGGCCAGTTTGTACTACCTTAGATTCTGTCTCAAAAACAACAGCAACAAGATGCTTTTTGGCTGACATCTTCAGATAGGTTGAGGGAGCCGCTCACTCAGGAGACCACTGGCCTACCCAGCCTTTTTGCCTTACAATGCCCTTCTCTTTGTGGCAAAACTACAGAAGCTCCACGAGCATTTCTTTTGCTATCTCTGTCTACCAGAAATCTGAAGACATCACGTTTGGTGTTTTCTCCCTTCTCCCTTCCACTGTTCGTGTACCAGTTTACCAGGTACAAAAACTCTTCTATCTCTGCAGAGGGTCAGCTCCCGGTCTTCTTACACCTTGATCCACCTGAATTTGTTCCCATATGCCTGGCACTCCTCTCTCCCTCTTCACCAGCTGCTATCAAACTCCCACTTCCTAGCTCCCCCGTCCTCAGCCCCTGCATAGAAATCACTGGCTCTGAGAGATCTCTGACCACTTCCTATGGTACTTTCTAAGGCAAATTGAACTCTCTTTCATGGCTCTTATTACATTTTAATTTTTGTACAGATGTATGTTTTCTTCTTTATTATTATTTCTATTTTATTTTATGTGTATGAGTGTATTGCACCTGTGTTGTGCAATGTCCACGGAAGTCAGAAGAGGGCGTTGGAGCCCCTGGAACTGGAGTTATGGACAGTTGTTAGCCACCATGTGGGTGCTGGAAACGGAACTCAGGTCCTCTGCAAGAGCAGCCAGTGCTCTTAATTGCAGAGCCATCTCTCCAGCCCTACTCATGTGTATTTTCATTTGCATAGTTTATAACTCTCTGACGTCTACCCCAGTGTATGTGTGTGTGTTTGTGTGTGTGTGTGTGTGTGTGTGTGTGTGAGTTCTAGCACCAAGGTCATGCAGTCTCCATAAATATTTAATCCAATAACTCAGTGAGGTAGTTACAGTCTTCCCTATTTCACAGTTGAGGACATTGAAAACCATGCTTATTGCCAAGGTCACCTGGTCAATAAATGGGTTATTGGTCTCAAGTCCAGTTGTTCAGATGGCAGTGTGAACACTCTTATACCAACAAGTTTAAATCATCATCCTTTCCACTCCTGCAGTGCTGAGACTCTAACCCAGTAGGGCTTCCCTCATGCTAGGCAAGCACCCTACTGAGCCACATCCCCATCCCTTGCTTATTCCTGTATAATCTGCACCGATTATAGCTTGATGTGACATCCCATCTTCTTCACTGAGGCTGGGCTTGGCATCTACAATTCCCTATCCCTAGAACTAGCTTGGTTCATGCTTGGGTCTCAATGAAACAACCTGTTTTGTTCTGATAATAGCATCCTTTGCCTCCGCAGTCTCCATCCCTAAACCCAACCCATCGAAGCTGATTGTAAAATTGAGAGCCTTCATTGATTCTTCCATCTTTGAGTCCTGTGGCCCTGTAGAGAGGGCACCTACTGGGATTCCACGTTCTTTGCTCTGGAATAAAGAATTGGAGCAGGAACACACAGAAAGTGGTTGAATAGAGTGAGTTGGTTGGGAGAGAGCTGATGAGCGTAGAAGTGGGCAGAGAGCTGAGAAAGGGTAGAAGCTCAAAGGTCCTGGGCCCTGAGAGTCCCATTGCTGGATCATGTACATAGTGTTCCACCCTCCTTGAACATTGTAGATTGCTTCTCTTGCTCAGGCCCTGCCCCTTGTATCGAGCCCTTGGTTGAAGGTTTCCAATCTTTTTCCCTGTTATTGATTTCTTTCTTACAATAATTTCTTAAAAGAATTTATTTTTATTAAAGTGTGTGAGAGAATGCAAGCTCATGTGTGCTACAGTGTGTGTGTGTGTGTGTGTGTGTGTGTGTGTGTGTGTGTGTGCATGTGTGTGGGGGACACAGGACCGCTCACAAAGTGAGC